TTTTTATACAACTCTGGGGCCTCTTGGTTTAAATAATTAAAAAAACTAAGTTTGAAAATGATGACAAAATGCGAAATTTAGAAAATAAGTAGCTAACAAATTTTAAAATTTTAGAAAGCTATTTCTATTTGAAATAGTAGATTTAAATAGCGTAGGTGCATAAAAATGTTTGTCCCACAAGTTAATGTGGATGTCGTTAAACGTTATTAATAATTTCTAAAATATTTGATTGGATTTTTTAAAAAAGGATTTGAATAAAGAAGGAATCATTTTGTACAAGTTGCAATGCAAGAATTTGCTTTTCTAAGTTTAGAAAGTCCTAATTATTATTTTAAATTATTTTCAAACAAATGATATTGTTTAATTCTGTAAATTTGCAAGCAAAAAAGCAAAATTAACTGTAAAAGGCTCGAGGGTTTTCCTATTTAAACTATTAGGAACAAATTTTCTTTTATTACATTTCAATTTAAAATACGTATGGGTGATACTTTGGAAACATGACAATTCGGAACAGAAAATTTCTTCAAATTTATAGTCTTAAAAATAATCCCAATTTTTTTGTGTATTTATTTACTTACATTTATTAATATCTTACAGACAGCAGTGTAGTTTATTGAAATTTGCTCAAGAAAAAAAAATAAAATAGAAATTCACCAAATTTTGAATGCCAGGAAAATGACATGTTAGCTTAGAAGTTAAAAAGAAAAAAAAAACAGTCATTTTAAGCTAATAATAAATAACTCAACTTAAGCCTTTGTGTTAGATGGCCATGAATTGCTTAAATTTATTCTTTTATCTACTGAAGAAAGAATCAAAAATGTTTTTGCTGCTGATATGTACAGAATAAAATTGTGTATAATAATCAATCATTAAATAAAAAAATTAACTGATTACATTCAAGCATATAATAATCTTACATAAACTTGGTATTATGTTAATATTTGTTTTCTCTCTTTACATTCAACTGTTTAAAAAATTTTCAGGTAACTGTTTCAATGTCTTGACATACAGAAGTCAGGAAAATGACAGCTAGGATAATGTCAATTTGCCATTATATAGCATTTAACTTTAATTCAATTTAACATTTCGGCGTAAGATGTTTACACTCAGCAGAAAACAATAGGATTTCTTGAAATAACTCAGGTAAATCTATGTAGTTTATGTTATTAATGATTTCAAGAAGCCAGGAAAATGACAACACAAAAACCTACTCATCTTGAAAAATTTTTTAAAATATGTTTTGAATCATAAAATTGGTACTTTATTCATGCAACAAGACATGTTCATATAGGATGGTATTCTAATCAATCTATTAACATAAGATTATGACTGCTGGCGCTATATATTTCAGTTATAAATCACTAAAGAAAAGTAGCCAGGAAAATGACAGATTTCCTTGTGAAAAACAAATTATTGACAGAAATTTTTTTTTTCAACAATGTTTTTGTAAATAATATTCTCAGCATATATTCTAGAAATGTTTACAACGGTTGAGATAAACAAAAATTTAATGTTGAAAAATTTAAGGGAAGTTTTGAAGCCAGTTATTATTGGAAATATTGTTTTTGACACACCAGGAAAATAGAGATTTTGAAATTCAATTAAATTTTTTAAATATACAAAACTGCCAATGCTAGTACAAGACCATTTTAAAACACTAACAGCAATGCTATTTATTAAAATTTTAAAAAAAAGGTCATTTAGTAGTATAGTATTAGATCTTGAAGCAAGACACTGTAAATTGTCTTATTTCGTGAGAATCACCCATATCTAGTAATTGTCTACAGATTGTAGACTGAATTAAAGAGCTCTGAACTTAGCAAATGAAAGAAATTTGATTTACCAAAATTTTTGTCGCGGCGGCTGGTCAATATAAATTTCACGTATGCCCTTAATAAAGGCAGGTCGGGGTAAACTAAACTTAATGAAATGTTTGACCAACAAGTTAGCAAGTCGTAAAAACTTTTTGCAAGGAGAAAATAAATAATCTCCAATAACTTTTGACGTCATAAATAACAGTAAATGTTAATTTTAATAATCAGTTGTAATTTAAGAATTAAAGGGTTTGATTTCATTGAAAAATCATCAATGTATACCTTTTTTTAAAAAAATTCTACAACTTATTGGACATATAACTTATTTAAGATTCTTAATTTTCTACGATATTTTAACAAAAGCAAAGACATTTTTTAAACGCATTTATTTTTGTGATGCATAACGAAGAACTTTTATAATTTAATTTTCCTTTGATTTAAAATTTATATATAAAAAAATAATTTGGCATATTGAAGCAAAATCATGAAAATGATTTGAAATAACTTTTTATAGGCAATAAAAAAGGTTTTTTTTTTACAACAATACAAGCACATAGAAATTGAAAAAAAAAAAGTATTTTTTAAATTAAAAAACTTAAGATTTTGGATTTTGCTGCAAAGAAATATATTTCGCTCCGAAAACAGTAAATAAATAAATTAAAATATTTTTCAATATTCAAGTGCTAGATTAAATTTAAACAACATGTTATACTTAAACCAATTACCAAGTTTTAAATGAATTGGTCTATTAAAAGTTGAAATATTTGAATTGAGAAAAAACAAATAAAAAGGCATAACTTTGAATCAAACAAAATATGATTTCAATTAAGAAAATGAATGTGATACCTTTTGTTTTTAGTAAAAGGGTTGCAATATTTTGCTTTAATTTTGGAAGATTATTAACTTAAACAGTGGTCGAACACGCATTGCTTTATACGTTTAACGAGTTCCTACAACGGGCTTACTTATTTGACGGCAGACAATGTTGTTAGTTGAATGGCCTATAGTGTTATAGATTTTAAGATCACAGGTTAGTTAAAACTTAATTTGATCATAACTATTTTTAACGGCCATGCAAAAAATCATCAAATAGTTTCTGAGAAATCGACTTTTACAAAAGTTGTGTCTTTAAAATTCAATTTTGATGAACTATTCGACCAATTTTGCTGACATTTGATATTTTGCAAGGTTAAATTACATCATTTAAAGTAATTGTATAAATTGCATAGTTTACAATTCAAAATCTTTGACTTTTATTAAATTAAATAAAAAATGATAAATATTTACAAAAAGTTTTTTTCTGAATGGAATTATTTTTGGACAGAAGAATTTTATAACTGTAACTTAAATATCGTATGCACTAATTAATGAGCATATTTAAGGTCACCCTTTCGAACTATTAAGACTGGATTCTAGAATGTCATCAGACCAAGATCAAAAGTTATTCAGAGTTGTCCTTATTAAAATTTTATTTTTTTCATGGACAGTTCATTCATGTTGCCAATGTATGATACCTCACATAAAAAATTTGACTTATAAGTAAAAAAAAAAATTTAAGATGTCTATTCTAGCCCAATATCCACACTAACTTTCCTCTCCCTTAATAATTTTGTATATAAACAGATTAAAAACTATATTTAAGTTAGGCTTAAATTAACAAAGAATATAAATATTGCAAAACATAAATGAAAAAGTGTCAATCTTTTGTTACATATTGTATTTTTGTGAAAATTTTTTTAATATTGTCATAACAAAGTTTTCTTAAAGCATCAAGTAGTATGAATTTATTTCTTAAACGTAATATTAATTAGACACTTACAATAAATGCCTGTAGTAACCTGCACATGAATCTTCAAAATATTGGCAAATTATATTATCTGCTAGTACTATAAGGTTCTTATAAAGATCTTATATGAATAGAAAGAGCTTTTTAAGAGCAGCTTAATAAATGTTTTAAACTAAACATTTTTACATTAGCAAAAACAAATTTTTAATTATACTCATGGGGTACCTACTCCAAAAACAAAATTTCAACACTGAACTTTTTTGACTAATTCACACGATCTAGCATTTTAGCAGAATTTCCAAACGTTGATAGCTTACTGACTGCAAAATGTACCTTTCCACAAGAATGGCTCTTACATTATATGTGCCTTGCGGCTATGCGACAATGACTATGTGATATGCGACAATGACTTGTTTATGTTTCCTAAAAGACAATATTTATTTTCCTTCATTTTAAAAGTCTATTTTAACAGTTAACTTACTATGTCCTTTTACAATAATCACCTTGAAGCCATTCATATCTCTACTTAATATTCACTTAAAAAAATCTTAATTCAACTTTCCCTAGCATTTCAAAACATCAGAAGGAAAATGCAGCAATAATCATGAAAATGAGTAATTTTATTTAATTTTAACTGAGAATATATCTTAAATTTTTTAAAAGAAAAATAAGATAAAAGAAAGTTTTTGAATAATTAAAAAATAGATTTTAATTGGAGGACCGAATTTAGACCACTGATTTTGTTTCCAAGACTAATTTCAGTCCTGAAGACTGAAGAGTGACACCAAATTAAAATATTTCAAGATCCTGAACGTTTCTATCAACAAGTTTAAACTGAAAAATATTTAAAAAATAAGAAGATTTATTTTGTGACATACGTACATACCTGTGACGACTACACCGTGCGTGCTGATTCGCGATCGCAAAGCTCGAGTACACCATCTGCGGAGAAGACCTGTTCCATGTCTTCACCCTCCTCCCCTTCCCTCTCCTCTTCTCAAATGTATAGGGATGGGCTATTATATTTCCCTCGTTTTGTTTTTATAAAAAACATTTTTCGTGTTTAATTATCGAAGATATTTTTTAAAATTTCTAAGATTTTAATTTCGAAGATTCCAAAATTTGCTAAGCTCTAAAATAGGCTATAGTATCTAAAGTTAGCTTGCAAGTTAATAAAAAATGAATAGTTAATACAATAATTCAAGTTAATAAAAAATGTAACTTGTATAAACAAAAATAGTTATAAAAAAGCATGTTCTTCTTTGGATTAAAAATTAATAATCAATTCAGATTATAATGATTAAAAAAAAGCAATGTTATTACAAACTGAGTTTTAATTAAAATTATCCTTTAAATAACAAATTTAATAATACTCAGCAGTTAAGAGAAAAGAAAGTCACCTGTTTTTATCCACATCTTCAACAATCGAAAGCAGTCTAAATGGCACAAATGATGCACTAGTCGTGGAATAATAAGTCATTGCTTTGACCTGAAAAAAAATTAACAATCATTAACAATTTCAAACAATTATAAACCATTACATATTATCAGCACATAAAAGAAAGGATATCTAAAAAATGCAATAAAGCTAGAAAATATTGCAATTTTTAAGATTATGATTTAAGTATATTAAAAAAGCTTCAAAGAAGTAAAATATAAAAAGTAAAATCACAATCAACTATATGTTTATAACATAAAAGGTGGAACGAATAATCTTTTATAGAAAGATAGTATTATAGATCAAACTCTTTTTTCACAAAACTAAATTGGCATAATTAGGTAGAGATCAAAGGGAATAAGAAACAAATAATTATTTTCGTTATACAGGTGACTAAAATATTAAATGTTAGCAAAATTAATTCTATTGTGGCTCAGTGCCGTGTTGATTTTGATGTGAATGTTTAGTGAGAAGAAAAAGAATTATGACTGCGAATCAAACTCGGGGGTTTATGATTATAATAAGCAAGGGGTGAAGTCTCAAAGTCTAGTAAAAACAAGTTAGAAGAAATATATTATAAAATATAGAAATTTAAAAAAAATATGAAACAAAATTTAAGAAAATATTCCATATGTTAAATTGATTTATAACACATTGATGTAGAAATCATCAAAGAAACTAAAAATAAGTTGAAGCTATAAATAGTATTCTCAAAAATATTTAATAGTTTATCTAACTGCACGCTAAACTTTGAATTTATGAAAGCCTCAGCATTTGAGTACACTTAAATTACATTGTACATTGGCTGTAGAAATTAGTACATTGGCTGTAGAAATATTATTTGTTATTAATTTAATATACTTCATTTCTTAACAGTTAATTTATAAGATGTGAAAATAAAATTAAATCTATCTTATTATTCATCATGTCACATTCCTATTATAAAAACAGCTTAATTCAAAGGAATGTAAACAATTTTTCAAATTAAATACAACTTCTAACAGAGAATATTAAAATGATATCAAAATTTTTATATTTTAATTTGATGTAAACATTCGAATATTTTTAGTTTTGTGTATATAATGTAATAAAAATAAAACCAAAATCAAATAAAATTCAAACTGATTTTCTGCTGAAGACATACAGGGTGCGCATTCAGACTTTTCAGCAAAAATAAGCATTTTTTAAGTACTTTTTTATCACTCAAAAAATATTTTTAATCACTTTCGAAAAAAAAAAAAACATAATTAGGATCTGTGCAGTAGTAACAATTATTTTTTTCTATCGCTTAAAGTTCTTAATTTATTAACATAAAATCAATAAAATTCAGAAACGTTTTCAAAAACTTTACATAATCATGATAAAATAACCAGTTTCTGATAAATATTGCACAGAAAATTGAAAAAAATCATGTATTTTTGCAATGTAGAATGACAAATAACATGGCAAAAAAAAAATTTTTTTTTTTTTAAAAAGACAGAAAATTAAGCTCTTTTTACATATCCCGAATAAAAAAGCACCTTTAAGGGCTTTCAAAAAACATAAATCAAAAATAAGCCCTTTTTAGAAACGCTACGCACCCTGTGCATAACTATCATGTATTAGCAATGCATTAAAAACTAAAATTATTACAAATGTTTACGTCAAAAGAAACATGCATTCAAAATAATTATCAATGAAAAGAATTATTTATTCATAAAAAAAACTTAAATTAATCTAAAACAAATGTTAAAGAGTTAAAGAATTAATTATTTTTATTTATAACTTCATACAGACACAAATTATGAAAATAAGAAATTACAAATTTCTTTTTTTTAAAAGTTTGTTACTTATAAATAATACAACAGTAAATAAATAAGAATATTAATCAAAAAAAAATAATCTTCCAAAATTTTTAAAAAATATAAAAAACAAGTTAAAAAGTTTTGCTAAAATAAAAATTACCTTTCATTACGTCACCTTGTTTTAAATTATCTTCAAATTCCCAGTTATTTTATGGCTAAGCGGTATGAAGCTTTTCAAGAGTATCATTCCATGCAATTCGTACTTTTGAATTATTCCCTGCAAATTAATAAGTTTTAAAATGGTAAGAAATTCATCAAGTTGTGCTTAAAAAAACGAATCACACATTTAACAATAAGTAAAAAAAAGCAAAACTAATTTTCTTTAATTAAAAACTACTACAAACATTATTTCCAAAAAAATGAAAAGTTTCCAAATTAACTAAAAATAAATTGCATTTATAAAGTTAAGAGATGATATCTTACTTAAAATAGTTGATCCAAGGTCAGAAAAAAAATTTCCACAGAAGCAGCAACCAATTTTTTTTTGGAAAGAAGGAAAATTTTCATATTAAATTAACTAACTTTTGAACTTTACAAAGACAATTTCATAGAACTCAACTGATATGACGCAGATACAGAAGAAGCAACTTCAAAAATATCCTTTTTAGTCTTATAAAATGTCATGCAATATTGCTTTAGACTTTATCTGTGCTTCAAACTATT